GAATACAAAAATCCTCAGCTGGCAAGGAATTTCAACACACTGAGGAAAAAAACGGTACTAAATGGATGTCACAGGGGTGGTGCCTTCAAGGGTACATATTTTAAGTAGATCTTTTATCTTTAGAGGACCTTGAGCATGTGGTGGAACTTTGAAACACATTTAAGGTATATAATTGGTTTACTGTTATATAATTTCCAATATATTTTATAACACTATTTAAAAATGATTCTTAGGATTCTTTTAGTAGTACATGCAGGTGACAGTATTTAACGGAGCAGATGTACAGTACACCTTATATTAACAATAAACAGATGGTCATTTTGTCAAAGGACGCTTACATTTACATTTCAACACGATGATTAATTTGCCAGCTGTTTTTTTCCCCAAAATGACTTACAAGTGAGGCAGAATTAAATTCAGTCACGGAGCTGTTAAAGAAACTGTCAGTGATGGAAGAACTGCAAAAATAATCCACAAGCTGGAACAAGTGTGGGATAGTTGTAGGAAAAACCGAACGAGCCACAGCTAACCACATGGCAAAAGAGAATGAGAAACACACACACATGCTCAGAAAAAAAGTGATTGTGTTTCTGCATCAATATTCATGTGCTCCACAGAAACACCAGCAAAACAGTCTGGTTACACTTCAGGCCAAAAGTACAGACGCAAGCAATGATTTTTGAACTGTGAAGTGAAGTGAATTTGTAATGTGTAATCAACAACATTATTGATATCTAGTTTAACCAAAGAAGGAATTGAAAAAATATTTAATTGGTTTGATATACACTTTTTGGATGTCCCCATATTATAAGCTGTCACTCTTAGTCAGCAATAGTCTCCACATTGAGCAGTTTCATTTATCTACAAACCTTCACTTTTGAACTCTTCTACTCTTCAAACTTCTACAATCAGGTCAACAACATGGGCAGTCTCTGTCATTTTGTGCCAAAAAGCAGTTAAGTTGCTAGCTGAAGAAGGAAGTGACAGCTACCTAGCTACACGTATATATAACAAATTTCAGAAATTAGCACAATCAAACAGAACTTTGTACTTACGATTTATTTACAATACTTACCAATTATAAAGATAAAATAACAAGATATACTCACTGAACACTTTATTAGGAACACCTGTACACCTACACATTCATGCAATTATCTAATCAGCCAATCATGTGGCAGCAGAACAATACATAAAATCATGCACATACGGGCCAGCAGCTTTGGGTAATGTTCACATCAACCATCAGGGAAAAAATGTGATCTCAGTGAGTTTGGCCGTGGCATGATTGTTGGTGCCAGACGGGCTGGTATGTGCATTTCTCTAACTGCTGATCTCCTGGGATTTTCATGCACAACAGTCTCTAGACTTTGCTCAGAATGGTGCAATAAAGAAAAAAATCAGTGAGTGGCAGTTCTGCAGACAGAAACACCTTGTTGATGAGAGAGGTCAACGGAGAATGGCCAGACTGGTTCGAGCCATAACAACTCTGTACAATTGTGGTGAGCAGAAAAGCATCTCAGAATGCACAGCACATCGAACCTTGAGGCGGATGGGCTACAACAGCAGAAGACCACGTCGGGTTCCACTTCTGTCAGCCAAGAACAGAAAGCTGAGGCTGCAGTGGGCACAGAGTCACCAAAACTGGACAGATGAAGACTGGAAAAATGTAGCCTGGTCTGATGAATCTCGATTTCTGCTGAGGCACTCAGATGGTAGGGTCAGAATTTGGCACCAACAGCATGAATCCATGGACCCAACCTGCCTTGTGTCAACAGTCCAGGCTGGTGGAGGTGGTGTAATGGTGTGGGGAATGTTTTCTTGACAAACTTTGGGCCTGTTAACACCAATCTATCATCACTTGAATGCCACAGCTTATTTGAGTATTGTTATTGACCATGTGCATCCCTTCATGGCCACAATTTCCCCATCTTCTAAAGGCTACTTCCAGCATGATAATGCACCATGTCACAAAGCAAAAGTCGTCTCAAACTGGTTTCATGAACATGACAATGAGTTCAGTGCTCTTCAGTGGCCTTCCCAGTCACCGGATCTGAATCCAGTAGAACACCTTTGGGATGTGGTAGAACGGGAGATTCACAGCATGAAAGTGCACCTGAAAAATCTGCAGGAATTGCGTGATGCAATCATATCAACATGGACCACAATCTCAAAGGAATGTTTCCAACATCTTGTGGAATCCATGCCATGAAGAATTGAAGCTGTTTTGAGAGCAAAGGGAGGCCCTACCCAGTACTAGTATAGTGTTCCTAATAAAGTGTTCCATGAGTGTATACTAGTGTGTAAAACTGTTTGGATTAGGCTACTCAAATAACCACTACTGCAGCTCCGAGTGATTCCAACTGGCACCAATATTTTTGAGATGTCAGTCATGTTCATGACCATTTCAGTAATTGGCAGTTGGTTATGAGGTTCTGTCCCGTTGAGGCATCTCCCAATCATCATATGGAGAAGCAGCGCATCCAGGTGGAACAAAGCAAAAACACACTGTCGAATAAACGTTTAGATGTTTTTTTTTTTCCCCAGAGATGCCCGGCTTCCCAGCAGGACTCAAAATGATGAAGCGTATCAATGTATGTAATGAAGTATATATTATTTGAATTATATCTGGTACTACTGTCAGAGCGGCTGTTAATCAACACCATCTGACTAATCAGTATTGAAAATTTGTGGTATAATTTTTTTTTAATATAATTTGCCATACTTTGAACCTCGGTTTTTGAAATTAGTGACAATGGTCTCATGATTACTTAATGTGATGTCATGGTTGTGTAATGAGATATCACGGTTACTTAATGTGATGTCATGGTTCCATTCTTGATGTAATGTCACAGTTACTTAATGTGATGTCACGATTACTTAATGGTTACATAACATGTTACTTTACTAGTTCACTTTCTGAAACCAAAAAATACAAACTGTGGCTGTCTGTGTTAAAGCTATTTTGAAATCCCAAAAAATCTAGGCTATGTCCCAAACCACATATTACCATATAGTAGACCTGGCTCTAAGATTTCTCACAGGATTGTCTGGGGGGTAAGGCTGTAGAGAGGTGTTGATGTTTGGATGTAAAATCTACCTGCTTTCTGCTTCCTTTTTATTTACATAATGAAAAAATCTTGGGCACAATCATAATGATGCTGCATGCATTATTTACAACATTAACATTTCTTTTTGTCATTCAGCATTGACCATCATGGGTGGCAGTACTCTTGTGGGAGTGAAGGATGAGCACCCACATGAAGTGGTAGAGGCCCATAACATGGACAAACGCATATACCTGTGTTTTATGAAGGTCTAGACTCGATCTTTATACTCCTGTAAGCCTTGGCAAACAATGGAGCATTCTACATTGCCTTGCAGTTTTTTTTTTTCTCAGCAACATTGATTTGCAAAAAGAATTTCACTGTCTTGTTTATTTCTGGCAAATGCTGCAAGAATACAGACAAGTTCAGGCAACTCAATATCAAGAAATGTCCTTGGTTTGGAAACAAACAAGAAATATTCCTGTCTCCATCTCTGATAAGGCCCTGTCTAAAACCTTCAACTTCTATCATCTTAGAAATTCTAACACAATGATACATTCAGAAGCTGAAGCAGAACCTTGTAGCTCAGTGATGAAGGATCAGAGTCCACCATTGTTCACTGATTTCCCTGCTCTAACACATATACTGAACCTGGTAATGAACTGGTTCATTTGTCTCTGAATAGGAAAATCACTAAACTGTGATTAGACCTCCCTCCAGGATGGAGTTGTGCCCCTTAGTCTTGGTAATAAAATTTACCCACTCCGTTCACTCCACTCATCAATTATGCCCCATTATCATATTGGCTCAGCATATTAGCTGTGGTTTGAGTGAAGGATTGCCACATTTAAATGGCAATAAAATCTGCTTGGCACACCAACTAGATTATGCTGTTGCTCACCATTACACACAAAGTGGACAGCAGCTGGCAGATGTTTCATGCCTCCCTTGTGCCACCACTCTTCAGAATGGCCAGATCAGTGGTCTCATACTTCTTTAGAATCATGGAAAAAAGTACTTTGAAAAAGTGTACTTTGTATTTCAGCAGGTAGAGTATTTGATGCAAGTCAGCAAGGTGTATTTAAAGAACTTCACATAAAAGCTCTGCAAATAGACAATCTCTGTCATGCTCATTGCTCTGAGTCTCTTGATCCCCACAGAAAGATCAGGTATGTTATGTGCTCAAGTGAAACGCAACCTCTGGACTAGTGCTGGACTAAACTTGCATTAGTCAGTGTATACCCCAAGCAAACACTTATAAATGTCCAGATAGACAAATGTGATGACATAATATTCACTCATTCATTCATCTTCAGTGAGTACTCTATCATTCTGGACCCTGGGCTTATCCTGTGAAGACTGGTTTGAGGTGTGAATACCCCCAGTCCATTGCAGGGCACCATGAACACACACACTGACACATTCATTCACGCCTAGGACCAATTTAGAATAGCCACTCCATGTTTTTGGGAGGTACGAGGAAACTAGAGAACCTGAAGTAAACCCACAGGGAGACCATGAGAAACTTCTCACAGACAGGAACCCGAGCTCAGAATTGAATCTGGGACCCTGGATCTATGAGGCGGCAGCACTACCCAATGCACTACCAAGCCACCAAAAGCAATAAATAAAAACCTTTGGTAAAGTTCATTTTATTACAGGTTTCACAAATAAAACACAAGTAAATGGATCTCCTGGTCAGATCCTTACATTAACCAATTAACACTCCGGTTTTCCCTTAATATTATGATTTTGTTCTTAAAATATTACAGCTTTATTCTTGTATTTTCAATTAAAACTTTTGACAACAAAACAAAGTATTATTCAGCTTGGCTAAAAAAAAAAAGCCACAGGTCAAGCAGTAGACATGACATAACCCTCCCCAATTTTATCCAGGCTTGGGACCGGCACTGAGAGCTCACTGTTGCACACAACCCCAGTGGCTGGGGTTGGTTCCCTGGCCGGGAATCGAACCCGGACCACAGTGGTGAGAGCTAATCCTCCACTAATCCACTAATCCTCCAGGGTCCCTTCTAATGACAGACCTGTGATTAAAGAAAATTGCAAAGTTCTGCTTACATCATCAATCAGAATGATCCAGGCTCATGCAGGAACTGAGGTGGTATAAACAGAAACTTTTTTCATAGTGAGCTTGAGGTTATAAGGCTATTCTTCCTGTCCATTAACGCATTTCATTTACATTTTGCCATTGCCATTGCATATTTGTAGCCATCCTCTGAGTTTCACATCATCCTATGCTGTCCTCCTATTGGTGGCTTTTAAGCCAGGTTTACAGTGTAAGATTTTCAGCCTGATTTTTCTGTCACAGGCAAAATCGCACATCATAAAAGACAATCTTTTGTTGTGAGTTCAGTGGAGTTAAGAACACATAATGTGACATGCTCACTGGCGGACAATTTAGTGTCACTGAGAGCAAAGACAGCCGATGTTAAAGGTTTTGATTAAAATCTCAGAGTGTGAGTGATGCTACGACGCTAGTCTAAGCAATTGGAGGATGGCATAGGATGATGATGTAAAACTGATGATGGGACAGCTACAAATGCTGTAGCTGCAATGGCGAAATGTAAGCAAAATGTGGGGTTTAAATGAAGAGCGGTTTGACAAGTTGTGACAGCAAAAAGGGACGTAACACAGAAAGAAATGAATTACAGGATGAAATACAGCTTCCAGGGATGTAGCTATGCTCTGTCCAAACACATCAAGTTTATTTACCATTATGCCAACATAAAACTATTTCATGCTTTCCAGCACATCAAGTATGACAGAATATAGTAGTTTCTTTAATTGTAGGTCTAGGTTCTTCATCGTCTAATCTGACATGGAGAACACTTGCTATCTCACAGTGCCAAGATTTTATTGGGATCATCTCATACAGTGTAACAAGTAATAATCGTAAATGACCGCTGTAATCTCACAGTATAAAAACAGCTTTAGACAAGTGTCATAGCAGCAGTCATACTGTGAGATTTTAATACAAAATTTCTAACAGAACTCTGCTGTTTACTGTCTTTGGTCGCAGTGGAGCATGTCACATTATGCACTGTAAGACCAAAATTTCTTTTATGATGTGCGTTTTTTCCGCGACAGCTAAATTGGGTGGAAAATCGTACAGTGAAAACCCGGCTATTGTCATGAAGAGTTGAATCAAGTTGTTGCACCCTCACAACTTTGATACACTGATACACTGTAAAAAACACTGATTTCTTATTTTAACCCAAATGTAGGGTTATATTACAATTATACAATTGCTGCAAAAGCTCAGGTCTGTGTGCACTTATAGGCACGTTTGTTAAGTTCTTTTAAAAAATCACTAAACAACCATTTCACTGTTTCATATTAAACATATGGTTAGATTCTAATCCAGAACTGACATTTGCTTTGTCCTAAATGAGACTGACTTAACTCAAATGAATAAGTTTGCAGAGGTTTTTTGGATGAACTTGCAAAGCTTTGTTCAGAAAACTCATCTTTTTAAGTTTATGAAAAAGATCTTTGGTTAGGTTGAATAAGTGTATTAAACGTAGTTGTACTGACTTTTTCATGGATTTTTGCTCAACCAACACAACAAAACCAGTCATTTAAACCTTTTTCAAGTTGTTTTTTTTTTACAGTGTATATTGCATAGTTTAGTTGGGTTATGTCTTTCATTATTGGGATAATTTGGTTTAGATATTCCAGTCTCGTGATGGATATTAAATGTTAATGGTCCAGCTCATAACAGAACAGGACTTGCTGATTTGATATCCAGCCTGCTGCTTTCCACAAAAATAAAGTGAGTGATATATCCTGTGTGGTTGACCGATTTCAAGTCATTTATGTTCACCTCTTTAATATTCATAAATAAAATAACTATACTCATCCCAGTCAGTTATGCAAAGTTAATGGACGTTATTTTTGTTAGCTTATTAGCTCTGTTACTGTCATGCATATACCGAAATAACCTCGCAGGCATTATCCAATTATGCGAAAAATTTAAAATGAGTGAATTTTTGTGTACAACATCTTTTCTGTTAGTTGCCATTAATCACTGTTAAGACATGAAGTTATTCATGATAGAACACGCTGTAATGTTAGGCTAAGCTACTGTGGAGAAGAACAATGCATATAAGATAAGACAGTTTCTGTTCAGTCTAGTACAGAATTACACACGTGTGTGTTACAAATTACAATAATAACAATAATCATAATAACAGGGGCACGGTGGCTTAGTGGTTAGCATGTTTGCTGCACACCTCTGGGGTTGGGGGTTTGAATCCCACCTCCACCCTGTGTGTGCGGAGCTTGCATGTTCTCCCCGTGCTTCGGGGGTTTCCTCTGCATACTCCAGTTTCCTCCCCCAGTCCAAAGACATCCGCTGTAGCCTGACTGGCATTTCCAAATTGTCCGTAGTGTGTGAATGGGTGTGTGTGTGTGCGTGTGATTGTGCCCTGTGATGGATTGGCACCCCATCCAGGGTGTCCCCCCGCCTTGTGCCCTGAGTCCCCTGGGATTAGGCCTGCTGCGACCCTGTGTAGGATAAGCGGTACAGAAAATGGATGGATAATAATACTACTAATAATAATAATAATACTAATAATAATAATACAGAATGTAACGCAACTGTTAGGTCATTTTTAAATCCAGTAAGCTAGGTAGAGATAGAGGTAACCCAGTGCACTGAGTTAAAAATAACCCAACATTGGGAAGGTACCATATCAACCCTTAGTTAGGTTACTAATCAGATAAAATGGATTTTTTTTCATGTCATAGTTTATTTCACGTCACACAGTAAAAAAGGGTAAATAAATCGATACATAATGTTACTGTTTACTCTTGAACATTCCTCTGTGCTGTGTTTGCTCTTCCCAGTATGAGTACTAAAGCCCAACCTGGCAACCTGGGAGCCTTGGCTGAGGCAGTGAGGCTGCTCGGCTGGAGGAGACGCTGAGCTCAGGACATGATGCGCTCAGGAGGAACGAGGCGGCGGGATGAGGTGATGTGAGGAGCGCTGCAGTGCTTTCACCACAGGCACCATCTCATCGAGCCTCTGCCACTTTACTGAGCGCACACACGCTGATGGGAGCCAGTCCGAGGAATTACGCGCTCGGAGACGCATTTGTAACGGCTCAGTTCTTCTGCTCGTTTTCAAACTTTCTCGTTGAGGCTGAGGTTTAGATGGATGCAGGAGACAGCCACTTCGCCTGACTGTATCAACATGTAGCGTGGGTCTGTTTTGCCCTCCCTATAAAGGCATGATGTCTTCAGGGAAGATGTGGTGAGATGGATAATGATTCATAGTCGTCGCGAGAACAGTCCCCTCTCGTTATCATGAACGATAAACCCAATAAACTGGTGTTCATCCCGGTCTTGGCTGTCCTTTTCGTGATGATAGGCTATCAGTACATCTGTCCAGCGGGCAGCCAGTCGTGCCATTTGCGGAACGGCGGCGAGCCGAGCGCGCGACACGCGGCTGTAACGGACGAGGCGGCGCACGTGGAGCGCGAGCTGGCGCACGACGCAGCGTCCAAGTACAACTTCAGCGAGCGCGAGCTGGCGCGCCGAGTCGACTTCGACATGAAGGGGGACGACGTGCTTGTGTTCCTGCACATCCAGAAGACCGGAGGCACCACATTCGGGCGCCACTTGGTGCGCAACATGCGCCTGGAGCGACCATGCGACTGCCAGACGGGCCAGAAGAAGTGCGCGTGCCGGCGTCCGGGCCGTGACGAGTCGTGGCTCTTTTCACGCTTCTCCACGGGCTGGAGCTGCGGCCTGCACGCCGACTGGACCGAGCTCACTAACTGCGTGCCAGCTGTGATGGACAAGAAGCGCGCTCCGAAGCGGAAAAAGTAAGCCTGGCGGATTCGGGTGTGTGGTGTGTGTGTGTGTGTGTGTGTGTGCGCGCGCGCGTCTGTCAGAGTGTGCATGTGTGTCTGTGTGACAGAATGATGCCAAATCAGCTTGCAATCAGCTGTTAATTTAGCCTATATAGAGTGGAACTACAGTTTGCATTGAATATCTTGCTTTGTGAAACAGGATTGGTGTGAATGAAAAGGAATGCTCACTCCTCTCTCACAGGCTGCAGCATTGCTGGTGAAAAAGCAGGTCTGAGATGGAAGTGGTTTTGCCAAGAAAAGTTAAGAAACTCAAGAGATGAGTCATGCCCAAATCCAGAGCTGGGTTGACAGTGGATGATATAAATAGCCAGGGTATTTTTTTTCCCCCTCTCTTCTCAGGCCAAAAATGTAAAATTGGACTGCAGTGATTTAATCCGTTGCCTATTCCTTCTGCTTATAAAAGTGATGGATAATCTTGCGTAATGTCAAGTCTATCATTTTTTTCTAAAATTACAGTAGAACTGGAATGGTATTGTGGAGTTAAAGGCTTCCAAGGCACTAAACCACCAAATGCCACAGAGGTTTTTTTTTTCTTTCTAAATTTCATGCTTTCTTCAGATACTAGGCATATCCATCCAGCTAAATATTGATTGATATATCTTCATTCATTTCATAAAATTATTTTGTCAAAAGGCACAGCAGGTAGTGCTGCCCCCTCACAGTGCTCAGGTTACTGTCTGTGTGGATTTTCTATGCCTGTGTGGTCTCTATGTCCATGCAGGTTTCGTCTGGGTTCTCCGGTTTCCTCCCACCTCCCAAAATATGTCAGTAAGTGGTCTGGCTATACTAAATTGCCCCTAGGTGTGAATCTGTGTATGAATGTGTGGCTTCCCATTCAGGGTGTGTCCTTGCCTCACAGTGTCCTTGCCAGTGTTCCTGGGTCCATTGCACCCCTGACCAGGATAAAGCATAAAGTTACTGAAGAATGAATGAATGATATCTCATCAAAAACATTTGGGTCAACCTTTTTTATAAGTATAACAAAGACATTTAATATGACATTCTCCTAAAAGAGGCTTTATAAAAGAAATTTTGAAAAGGCAAAATTGCGACAATTATTTTTCCTGGTCAGGGTTGAGGTGAATTATTACTGAATATCCATTATTGAATTAAAACAATTTTAAAACAATTTTTAACCTTATTAAAACCTTTATTTTCTGTCTTACTGGACTGAGAGTGTGCACACAACCTTTTAAAAGTTTATTTGTAAAATATTTCTTTCTTTAAAGTGGCAATTATTCACTATTGTATCATATCATACTCAATACCCAGGAGTCAACAGCAGTGATTTTATAGATTGCATTGTATTACGCATAATCTTACTATATAGTATTGCCTTTAGTCTTACTGCGAAAGTCAGAGACTGTTACTCTGAAAATAATTCCCTGAATATTTAATGGATATTTTCATTTTTATATGCAGTTCATTTGCTAGTAAATTTCCCACACCAACAAGCTACCTTTCCCTGTTTAGATGATGGAGAGAACGTGTGGTAATGAACTTTAAATGAGGCATCATAAAGCCAAGCTGAGCTGTGGAGCACACTCGAGTATTCCCATCTATAATTTAGACAGTGCCAGTCTGCATACATGAGCTATTAAAAGGATATTTTAGTTGTTTACTGTGTATAATGAGGGTTTAATGTGTATAGAATGTGCAGATTTTCACATTTATGAGTGTGTGAAGGAAAACCATCTGTTCTGTTTTTGTCTAAAAACCTTCTTGTAATGAGATCTTTTCATGTACATTGCATGGAAGGCATTTGGTTTTCCATGTTATTTTGCTGTGAAAGTGTTTTCAGGTGGTTTTCAGCTCTTTAGCAGTTTTAGAAAGGATTGTGGATCAGAAGCACTTCACCCACAGTCTTAAGGGGAGCACTGGACTAAAACTAACACTTAAATCATCAGGTTATCCATTCGTGATTGCGCGATTCATCAGTTTGACAGGCAAATTCATGGTGTAATTATCTGTACTTCTACAACTCAAGTGCAGCTAATTTGCTGCTGACAGGTTTGAATGGGAACCATCAAACTAACTATATGAACAAGTAAATTCTACATAACTACTCTGGTGAATCCACTAAAATGGCCCTAAGAAGTGTGTTTCCAGACTGGGGCCTTTTTTATTTAAAATCAAATGTGATTAGGTTTTAAACTGAGGATTTAGTCACAAGCCGATGCAGTGAAAACGTCATTATTAATTATAACAAGGTCAGAGGCAGATATTTTATTGAGAAATTTTAACGAGTTTAAAATATTAATATTTCCAAGTGTCTGTGTGAGGAGTACTAGCATAAATTATTTCTCATAATTGCCGAGTCCTGATTGCAGATTAGTTATTAAGGACAAAAAAAAGCATCATTGTGTAGATGCCTCTAAAAACTGCAGAATTAAGATCAAGTGGTGACGGAAAAGCAGTCAGAAAATGCACTCTTAGGGCACTGTCACAACTATTAGTCCATGTGCCAAGTCCTAATCAGAGCAAAACTTTTTACTTTTGGTTTGTTTGCAGTGTGGTTTGGTTTCATACTGCATATAAATAAATTAAGCAAAAGGGCTGAAAACATACTCATAAAACTCTTTTATTCATTGGTCATACTGTATAAAGCCACAGGAAAAATATAAACAAACATTTGCCACGTGTACATAGAAATCACTAAAATCAGTGAAGCATGGAGAAACCAGAGCCGAGGCTAAAAAAATGATTAGATAACTATATAAATAACTAGTTTAAAATGTTGTGTGTATTGTTTCCAGCATTTACAGTATTATTTATTATTATCCTCACTTTTTGTTTGTCGGTCCAAATATCCAGAACTTCCTGCAGCTTGGTTGATTCAGCATCAAATCACTTTTTTTTTTTACTGCAGTTGAACAGCATTAGAGTTTATTTACAACCGGACTGAGATCACCTCGCTCAGACACTCTCAGAATTTTTTTTTCCTGCAAAACCCAAGTGCGAAGATTGCGTTCTCACCTGCTCAGATGCACCACACGAAGGGGGAAAACCTACTTGATGCTGCTTATGTGAAACCATCCTTAGGAAAAAGGGTTCCTCAAGGATTGTTTGAATGATTAAGAGTTCTTAGCTTTCATTAGGGGTTCTGTGAAATGCAACCATTCGGCTAAGGAGTTTTGGAGTTTATACAGAATCTTTAAGGGCTCCTCCAGAGGGACATTCTAAAGAATGTTATATGAAATCTTATTTCCCCCTGGAAGCTACAGTATATGTTATGTGAATAAATATTCTTGTGTCTAGTCGGGTCCCTGGAGGACTAGTGGTTATGCCACATCGCTCTCACGACTGCAGCTTGGGTTCAATTCCTGGCCAGGGAACCAACCCCAGCATGCAGGAGTGCGCTCTCAGTGCCGGGCCCAAGCCTGGATAAAAATTGAGGAGGGTTGTATTTGGTGTTTTTCTTTAAAAAACAAAAAAAAACTGTGCCAAATCAAATACGCAGACCAATGATCCATTGTGGTGACCCCTAACGGGAGCAGCTGAAAGAGGAACAACATTCTTGTGTCTAGTTATCCTCTGTACTCTAATTATGGCCCTGAGAGTAAGTTCTTCTTTTATATCAATTAGAGTATGAAAAACAGCTGGTACTATCATTGCATTGTGTCAAATAGCACAAACATCAAATTATGCATTATTGTGTGCAGACTTAAATGCCTCTAAAATAAATTTAGCTATTTTCCAAGCTCAATCTTTTTATATTATTTGGCTTCCAGTTATTTGCTTCCAAACAAATCCTTGTTTAATTAGCTGCTCAGTTGAAAACTAACCTGATGGGGTACAAACTGGAGTCTGTAATTGTCCTAAAGTCGACCTGTTATGAGTGGAATTGTAAAGATCAGCAAACAGCTGGAGATAGCGTGGCCTGCAGCCGAGGTGCGTCCCAGCCTGAGAAATTCCTTATTTGAAGATGAAAAATCGACCTGAGCCCAAAACCGCAAGGCTACAGGCATATAATTTATATCTGCAGTGCCAAGTAGCTCCTTCCTCTGGGAGAGTGCGACATACTCGCCTTTGCCAACTGCAACATTAATTCATTTCTCTCTCTCTCTCTCTCTCTCTCCACTTATAACTGTACCTCCTTTTGTATTTCACTGAGTGTGTTTCCACCTTCTTCTAAGACTGTCAAAACCAAACAAATCTCTTTTGACAATAAGCAAGGCTTGTACAACCACAGGAGTGGTGACTTTATGAAATTTTCATTCCTTTCTTCTGTAAGTGGGCATCCCTAGACATTTCGTCCCCCATCTTTTGTACCTTTGCTCTCAATTACAGGGATGGTACATTCTGTTGGTTATACACGAATTTTGTGAAGGCACAGTGTTGCATAATGTTCTCAGAGGAAATAGGATCAAGGCTTTCTTTCTACCTGAGTGCTAGGACCTGTGTCCCGAGTGGCTGTCTCTGCTGTGAGGTGGCACTGAAGGGGAGCGCTGCACAGTCTGTCTTGCATGGCTTGGCCTTTTCAGAGCAGCCAGAGCAAGAAGCAGGAGCCAGAAAGGTCAGTTGTGTCAGAGCAGATCAGCAGGCACTCGTACAGCAGAGAGCGAGACAGAAAGACTGGGATGGAATGCGTTTTGCTCGTCTCTGCTGGGCCTGAGGGAGAGTCTTTCCCTCTCTCTGCCACTCCTCCATTGGGGCCCTGGAGAGCAGCATGTTAATATAGGAGTGAGAGATGTCTGGTTTACCATTGCCAGGACTCGTCATGAGGCAAACACCAATACATTAATCACAAAGAAAAATGATGACTCGTCATCTATATTAATGCACTATAATTAGCCACCTGATGTTAGGAGGTATTTCCTCTCCAAACAAATTAGCACTCAGCCCTATGTATACATCATTTACTTGCTACCGCTGCAATGCAGGAGTGATGCTAATGCATGTTTAGTATGAGCAAATGGCATTGTTATTTCAGCTGTCACACAAAGAGCTTAGTAATTGTAAGGAATTGTTGTAACTAAATTAAAATTAATCATGCAAAGCATAGACAACTGGCTCTAAATCCTGATATCCGCATGGAATACCTCATTTATCTCCTGGCAGTGCTGTGCTATGGGACTGTGCTCCCTGGCACTTGCCCTTTTAGCACTAATTAAATCTGTCATGTCCCCTGATATGTATAGGAATACGAAATGTATTTTCTGGTCAGCCTCAAATGAACACTCTGTCAAAGTGAGCCCTAATTAACTGAACCAAATGCACAAATCCTTGCTTGGTTAGCCATATAGTTTTTTTTTAGTAAGAAACCCCACAATTTCATCTCATCTTTAACACTTGCAACCAGTTTAAAGGTTTAGGAGGTGTTTTTTTTTCTTTAGAACTACAGGGCGTCCCAAATGTCATACAAAGGGGACACTTTTTAGCAAAATGTGTTTCAAAGATCTTGATTACTGTATCACATTTATGCTCCTATTTACATTCAGTGCCTCTGGAAAGTATTCACCCCCAAAAGATTATTTCTCTTTTTGCTGTTTTGCAACATCAAATTTAAGCATATCAGAATGCGATTTTTTTCCCTGCACCTTTTGAAGTGACTCTCTACAGAAATAAAATATAATATAACAAATATTTTATATAATAAAATATTTAGATGTCCTTAGACTTATTCAGAATTATATAAAAAAAATCTAAAAAATGCTCAGTTGATAAGTATTGGATGTGTCTCTATGAGCTTTGCACATTTTGATTGTGGCATTTCTTCCATTTTTCAATACAAATTTTCTCTAACTGTGCCAAATTAGATGGAAATGGGAATGTTGGTGGACAGCAATTTTCAGGTCAAGCCATAGATTTTCAATTGGATTTAAGTCTTGGCTTTGACGTGGCCATTCTAAAACAAAACCTTCTTTTTTCAAGGCATGTGTTTGTAGTTTTTGCCCTGTATTTTGGCTCATTGTCCTGTAGGAACATATATTTTCACCCTAAATGCAGATGTCTGGCTGACTGGAACTAGTTCTCCTCAACAATTTGCTTACATTTGCCTCCATCCATGTTGCCTGAAAGAGCACTGTAGAACATGATGTTACCACCATGTGCTTGATCACAGGAATGGTGTTACCTGGGTGTTGGGATGTATTTGGTTTGTGCCAAACATTATGCTTTGGCTTTAGACCAAATGGTTCAGTCTCATCAGACCTCCAAATCTTTTCCCTCAAGCTCTCAGATTTGTTCTCATGGCCTTTCTCAGAAGTGGCTTCCTTCTGGCCGCTCTCCCAGAGAGGCCAGGTATATGAAGAGCTGATGACATTGTTGAGGTCTGCTCTGGTTCTCTTATTTCAGCCAGTGAGCTCTGTAACCCCTTCAGTGATGTAGCTGGACTCTTCTCTGACAATTGCCCTTCTTGCCTAAGCACTGAGTTTGGCCTGAACATGGTAGTGTCTGGGTAGTGTCATATTTTTTCCACTTTGTTATAATGGATTTCACAGTGCTCATAAGAAGGTTCAAAGCTTTGCCGACATTTTAATAACCTTTTCTGTCTTTTTTTCTCCTAACAACTTCATCTCATAGTTTCACGGACAGTTCGTTGGTCTTCATGACAGCAGGACTGATCTGATCTGCCATTTGAGCTGTGAGAGCTCCCAAAGTCTGAGATATTTATTGTGCAAGCATACAATTGGACACAAGTAGATTTAAATTAACATAGGTGTCCCCTGTTTAACTTATTTAGTGTGAGCTCTCGAAAATAAAATACTAGTCCTAATTTAGAATGCTAAAAAAGGGAGTTGAAAGCTTCTTAATTATGTAGTTTTTAGACTTCTTATTTTTTAAATAATCCTGGGGACATATAAATACTTTATTTAATTTTATTTCTGTCGAGACTCACTTCAAAATGAGCAGAGAAAAATCCCACACTAATAGACTTCAATTTGATGTTGCGGTACAGCAAAAAGTACTGAATGTATTCACGAATGTATTCAACTGGGGATGAATACATTCTGGAGGCGTTGTACTTTGCTGATTTGTTAATATTTAATTGTCTTGCATTTCTTACATTAACCTTGTTGCATGTAGTTTAAATGTTCAAAACTACATCATCACAAATAATTTAGTAAAGACACAAGGGCTACTGAATTTGTATAGTCCCTTATGTATTCTACTTCATGTAGTCTGCATTTAAATAAACAAAAGTTTGGTTCTGTGATGGACTGGTGTCCCCTCCAGGGTGTTATCCTGCCTCACGCCTAGTGTTCCCGGGATAAGCTCTGGCTCCATCGTGACCCTATCCAGGATAAAGCAGTTACTGAAAGTGAGAGAGAAAGAGAGTGAAAATTTTGGTTAAACAGAGACAGAGGCAATTTCATTGCCAGTGAATTCCCATTTTCAGCATATAGTGTTGCAAACAAAATAAACATACACAAAAACACATTGGCCCTTATTCATCAAAGTTACATTCAGTCAAATCTTATCATAAATTGAGCATAGGCAAATTCCAATTACCTTATTCATCAGTTTATAACTCAACTCATATCTTGTTGGAGTGTGTATAAATTTAAATATAACATTTTAACAACCTGCAAAATGCTTGCTTTGCAGTTAAAGAATCAATATCATTAACAATATTATCAGTATTTCTACAGAGTATAGTAAGTAGAGTAGTATAATAATAACAATAAAAATAATAATGGAGTTTAGTGGAGTCCATTGAAGTTTAGCAGTGGAATTTAGTAGATTATTAGTAGACTTATTAGTCCTTCAATTTGAGTAATGTTTGTATTTGTGTACAAAAGGCACTAGAAAGCGCTAACTTGGATGTGGAGAATTGGACAGATGGACTACTCAAAGATGTCCTGGATATCATCACATATTTTTTTCAGGTAATTGCAGAATTTCATATCAAGAGTAAAACATTGCAGATGTGACTTTATTATATGCATTTCAGTATTTGATTCATTTCTTCTACCATTATAATATGAGGATTTAAGGATATAAGGATTAGTTTATTGTTCATGATGGAAGCTTGTCCATATTTATAAATGAAGCTTTAATGAAATCTGACATAAGTTAAATATCATCCATTCAAATTCTACAATACAAAAGGCCTATCCTTTCCTCTCTTGAAATAGTTAATTTTTTAAATGTCAAGCTTCCATTTTGTCCTCACTTTCTTTCCATTTTTGAGGATCTAAAAAAGAACTTATTTATTTTCAGCAACCTTAGACACAAGCACCACTAACTTATCTTCAGTGAATTTTTCCCCCCTATCCTTTAACTTCTTCTATCAAATCTCGGTCGCTTGCTAAATGTGTTCCTTTTATTGGCTCACTATCCCAGCACAGTGTAAATGAGATGTACATGGGGTAAAATGGGGTGTGCCATA